CCGGCGATGGGAGGAAACCCCACGGCCAACTCCGCACCCAACTCTCTCCCGCAAACCTCCGACGCCCTTATTAGCCGGCTCCGCTGGCCTGGCTGGGCAGCTCCAGAAGGCCGCAACCTCTGCCCGAACGATGCCCAAAGCTTGGGTCAGGCCGGAGAGGCTCCTTGAGGAGACGCCTCTTCCCCGGCTTTCTCCTCCAGGATATCCGCGCCGAGCTCCGCCTCTGAGCCTCGCTGGGCGGAGACACCCGGCCCGCTCGCCCGCCCGCCCTCTCTCCCTCATGGGGAGACGCTAGGCACGGCCTAAAGGCGAGTCGCTGCGGTTTCCTTTTCTTGCCCTCTCGTTGTGCGTCTCGGAAGAGACCCAGCCCGGCCCCATGGCCACCGAGGTGACGACGGTGCCGGGGGGCCCTGGCCCGCGGTTGCCCTCGTCTCCAGCGCGGCGGGATTTCTACTGGCTCCGTTCTTTCGTTGCAGGAGGTAAATACGGGTCAATCCTTTGTGCCGCGAAGGGGCATGTTGTTGGCTTGGCACGCCGTCACGGTGCGGAGTGAGGGTTGCTTGCCTGCCTGCCTGCCTCTCCGTGCCCATTGGGGCTGGGCAGCGGCCCCAAGTTGGCGACGATTTGGGGCGCCAGGCGGAGTCCTCCGTTTTTATGTGAACTCCGAGTGGGACTTCCGCATTGTGCTGCTTTTGTGTTGAGTTTCCCCCACTCGGCTGCCTGCGTCGGCGGCTTTTCTTTAAATCTTCTTCACTCCATTCGAACAGCTCCTGCTTAAAGACACGGATTAATTTTTTGTTCATTCGCGGCTGTGCTGAGAGAGGAAATGAGGCTTCAGTCATAAAGAAAATGTCTTCAGAAACGAACTTTAGGATTGTGCCCTCCTTACCATGGGGACAGAATCTACTCTTGTTCTGCCCCTGGCTTTTGCTAAACATGATCTGGAACTGTCTGAATAAATGACACATTTAGGGGTCCTCCAGGTTCTTCTGTGGCCAAAAGGTACCCATTCGAAACCAGTTCCTCCGTGGGCATATCTGTACTTGATGGGGAAAAAATGCATCTACTACAACTTGAACCAGGCAGAGTATTTTAAGATCTCTAGATAGCTACTGATTTATGGCTAAAGTCATTTTTATAAACTACTGTATATGCAGACCAGCAGATGTGGGGGAGGAAAGGCAAGATCCTCCTGATTTTCAAAGATCAGACACAAGAAGATCAGTGAGTCCACGCAGAAAGTAAGTTCAAGTGTTATCTAAATGAAGAGTGTAAAGCCATAGGAGGGGGAAGGCTAATATTACATTCAGAACTGCTTGTTAGGTTTCAGATCCTTTGTAGTCTAGCAGGTAAGCTTGGTTATGTGAGGTGGGAGGACGTTATACAGATGTGACTAATAGCATATTGATGGTTAAAACTTACAGTAAGAGTTATCTCTCAGATCTTTTCCATATCCTTGACTGAGGATGTTCTAGTGAATAATCTGAAAATTCTGAAATTTGTAAAGCTTGCACAGTTGTATTTAGGTGGCAAACTTTGTTTTCTGCACAGATTTACAAGTGCTGTATATAGGTAGCCCAATATTTGCAAAAAGCAGGAATTTTTTAATGTGGTAGCTGATTCACATGTTCAAATTCACATGTCCAAATTCAATGATTTTTAAGTGTTTCATATTTTAGAGGAAGGATTAGGAAATGCCGCAGTCCCTTTCAAAGGTGAGGCAATTGCTGGAAGTCCTAGAAGACAAAGGAGCTATCTGAAGTGCTGCCTGTCCAGATCAACATAAATATATTGTATGAAACTGCATTAAGCTTATGAAACTACATATATTATTTTTTTAGAATATCGTAATATTATTTGGCATGGAACTTCTTGGATGAGAAATTATGTAATTAGAGAGCTTTAAAGAATCTGATATTTCTGCTATGGGAAGGGTGTTTATTATTGGTTCTGCATTGTGTGGCTTTAAACTTGGAGTTCAGTGTTGATTTCCACCTAGCTGAGTATCTAGGATGATAACTCTTAAGAGTGTTTCCATTAGCTGATAGGAGTATTAATATTAACAGTCATGACATGATAACATTTCATTTAGTACTTTAAGGCAGTTGAGTTCTCAAAGAATTACATTTCTGTTAGCTGGGTAAATATTACGAGAATTACGTAAGGCAGGTCACATTTGTTACCCTTGTATGAGAAATAGGAGGTACTAGACAGTACAGTCAAAACTCAGAGATGCACCAATTGGAGTAGGTTTGGAATGGGTAGCAGCCTCTTATGCAGGCACAACCCCTTTGTGCTACCTCATCTCAGATCTGCCAGAGTAAGTATTGCTGCTATGCTGGGTGAGATTAGCCAGCAGGAAAAGCAAAAATAGGTTGGAGAAGGAGAGGAGCTGCATTACACCAGCCTAACCCCTCTCAACTCAGACTCACAGCCATTATGGCAGCACAGTTAGGCCAGAGTGAGGTAGTCCTAAATAATTTCCACTCTCTTTAGGATGGGATGATGGTGGTGACTTGAATCAGCAGAGCTTCATTTGCCCCAATTTCAGCACAGCCAGCCCTCAGTTGTCCTGACTAGTTGCTCATAAAGACTTGTTGTAGAACATTTTGTCAATTCTTAGTTTGCCCATAAGGACTTGTCAGAGAACATCCTGTCAATTCTTGGATGTGATGTCAAATTTTCAAATAATTTGGAGAAAAATATAGCTTTACCTGGCCCAATGCCTTTTGCAATCCTAAATTTGCAAAGGCCAGCAATGAAATTATTTCATGGCATGGTTACTTGGTTGTTTGCAAGTTACGGGAGAGAGGATGTACTGTCTAACAGCTCATGCTATTAGACAGTACACTATGGTCTTGCATATTGCACGATCAGACTCTTGAAGCTAACCTAGAAAGACAGCTGGAGATGGACGGTATCACGCTTTGGCAAGTAGCTTACTTTTTTTAATGTGTTCTTTGTGTGCTTTGCACTTTATCAGAGATGGGTGCAGGACAATTTTGTGAACAAAGATCATAACCACTGAGTGAGGGAGGTCATGCTTACTAGGTGTGGGTTGAACTTTGCTTTTGCTGAATATTTGACATGGTCATGGCATTTAGCAACTAGTAAACCGTGATCATTTTCTGTTTGTATGAAAGGTGTTGCAGGATGTTGTGCCAAAACAACCATTGCACCGCTGGATCGAGTAAAAATTTTGTTGCAAGCTCATAATCATCATTATAAACATCTAGGTAAGCCAATTCTTCTATATCTTTTCTGGAATCTAATGTAATTTATATCTGTAAAGGAATTAAACTTTATTTTGATCTTGCTTCTGCAGTTGCTAGCAGCATGTGAAGCAGTGATAGTGTTTAGTCTGTATTTTTCAATAGGATTTCAAGCATTGAGCATCTAAGGCTTAGTAATAAGTTTTGTTTATAACTTTCGATATATACAAGTGAGTTTAAAAAAAAACAAATGTCATTACAGCTTTTCACAGTAAGACCCCAGTTCTCAGCCTTTTCACAATTAGGAGACACTGATACCCAAAGACACACTGGAATATATCTGAATGTTTATCATATGTTTTCATAGTATTAATGCTCATATTCCCACTCTTCTTAGCTCAGAATGCAAGCTGGTACAGTACTTAGTTTCATCCTATTAGGTAAAGACCAGTATTGTAGCATTCAGACAATGAGACCTTTACATAAATGGACTGCACTGAAACAAACTGGAGTTGTGTAATGTACAAGAATGTGATGATTGATGTAGTTTTCCATGACTCTGTTTCATTGTAATGAGCTGGTGCATTGTAATGAGCCGTGGTTCCCAGATACAGAACCTAGCAGTCCTCTGCTTGTCTTCTCAGAGGTATCTCAGGTATATTGATCTAAATGAGTCTTATTCCCAGGGAAGTTGGGGTAAGATTGCAGCCTAAATTAATTAATTTGGAAGTTTGGTTTAGGAATAACTGCACTGTTTCTGGGACAAAAATGCTTTCCAAATCAATTTTCAAGCACTGATTTAAAGCTTCTTAAGACCTCTGCTTCCCTTGCTGTTGTTTGTTGCATTAGTTATTCTTTTGCTGAGGACCCTGCTTTCTTCAGTGATAAAATGTAAACTTTCTCCCACAATTGCTACATTTAACATCTATGTCAAACATATTATGTCAAACATAAAATAAATATGGAAGAAGTTTCTGTGGATTGTGCATTTTCAGCAAAAAGGGAGTCATAGATTTCCATTGAAAATGGACAAATCTTTTGAGTTCTTTGATTAAAATCAAAGCTTCAAACTTGATGGTAGAATACACACACTTCATTATTGCCTGAAATTGCTAGATGTCCTTAAAAATCAATCTGTAATCTTCAAAATATTTCAAAACCGTGTGATGGAGTGCATCCCCCTTATGTACCTATGTCTGCAAATGTGAATGTTGAGGACGTATGTTCCTCACTATGCCTGTGACCTATAAAAAGAATGGGCCAATGAAACCACATTGTATATTCCTTGTAAAATTGGGATGAAGTGAAAATATTGTTAAGATTCCTTGGAAATGGAAGATTTGTGTAGTGATATTTTGAGACTTCTAGTATCCTTGTCTCTTTTAGGGAATTCAAGCAGAGAAATAAATAAAAGATGACATTGATCAGAACAAAAAAGAAGGTTTGTTCTGATCAATGTCATGTTTTATGACAAATGAGACCCAGCAGTAAAGCATGGGCAGGCAAAATAAAGTAGCCCTCTAAAGACATTTTGTGGAACACAGTCCTAGTCAGAACTTCCCTATCTCCTGCCAAAAAAAGAGGTGAAGGCTCCAGGAGTAATGGGGCAGCCCCTATGCAGTGAATAGCATCTTAAGATACCTGTTGGTTTTGTTATTTCATCATTTGGGGAGAATCTACAGCCCGAGAGGATTGATCCTAGATCTGCTGCGGTTGCTCACTCCTGAGTTAAAGGAAAGGGCCTTTATATATCTCTCCTTATTTGGCTTGGTGTACCTTAGGAGTAAATGCTTTGGTGTCACCTTTCTGAAGAAAGCAGTATACTTTGTGAGTAGTTCTGAGTTGGTATGAGAGCAAAACTTCTTATAGTTGTGCTATTTAATTCTATATACAATGGCAAAAATCTTGTTAGTGTAATTCTTTGTAGTGGAAGCTGATGATATCAACTTTTGCACATAAAATTTAATTAAAATGAATTAAATGCTTCCTCTTCCCCATGCTTTTAGTTCCAGTGCTCCCTAGGGCTCACTTTTGATCTGAGGAAGCCTTTGGTAACCTCAAGAGGGCAGGGGTTGAGTCACCAAAATAAAAAAAATTGCTGCCAGTGGTCCCAAATCTGCCAGTGGAAAGCTGGTGGTGATTTTTGGCAATTAGAGGCTGCTGGTCTTTATATTATTGATAAAGAGCCACATTCTGCAGTCCATAATAATATGCTTAGTCAGCTTTGAACAGTTGTCATCCTTTCCATGGTGAGTGATTGAACTATAATGAAAGAGCACCATCTACGTCTTTGGCTTGTGTCAATGGGTTCAGCTTCAATTTTGGGCAGGAAGTACCACAGGAGTCGTCTTCTTAACCCTAACAGCTTCATCTTTATTGATTGCAGATGGTTCAACATTATTAGAAAAGGGATCAAAGAAACTCAACTCTGGCAACAAGCCGTAACTATCCAATACATAATCAGTCCTCTCACCAACCAAACTCAGAGGGGTGCAGGGCCAAATCTCTCCACATCCGTCGGCTTCTGTAGGGGCGCGCTCCACACCACACAAATGGTGCCGCAACATGGGTGCCTTGCCCAGTCACCTTCTAGTGGCGGAGTGTTGTGTCAAGCATCAGGTCAGATAACTTGCTTGCCCCTTCCCTTGTTCTTAGCGAAAATGACTACAGACCACTCAAGGGGCTCGGATCTTAACTCCTTCCCTTCCTGCGAGGGTGGGTCGGGAAGCAGCCCTCCTAGTTTTAGGTTTGGGAAGTCCCTCAACAACTCTTGGGTCTTAACCCGCTCGTACTCCCTTAGCCGTTCGATCTCTCTCTTTCTCTTCCACAGCTCTACTTCTACCTCAAAACGGTGCTCTCCTTGGGTATTTATACTTTCCTCCCAGACCGACAACTCCTGCTCCACCCCTTTCGCGCCTTCTCTCTCCTCCACTAAGCTGACTTCAGACTTCCCATTTTGTGTCTCTGTCTTCGTGGTCGCATTTTCCTTCGAATCCTCTCATCCTTACCTGTTCTCTACGTCCTTCCCCTCTCTTTGTCCTTCACTAGCAGGGGACCGCACACTCTCTGCTATCACTCCTTCACAGCTTGGAATTGAAAAGAGGTGGCAAACCTATCCAGTAGCTCTGTTGTCTTTTCCTTTGGAGTATACTGCAACAAGGAAGATATCTTTCCCCTCTTCAAGCTCCAAGGTAGAAAGAAGAATTGTGTGATGTTTGCTTGTCTGAAAGCTTTAGCACTGCAGTTTACATCTGAACAGTTTGTTTGTTTGTTTGTTTATTATAGTTTTACCACTCCCCATTCTCCTTAAAAGGAGACAAAGCAAATATATTTGGGATTGGGTGATCTGTATGCTCAGTGAAGGAAATGTCCACATTTGTACAGACTGTATTGTAAACAAAGGAAGAAATGATGGTCTTCAGTGTTTATTAAAAAATTGGCAAAACAGAGTTAATATTTTGATGATATATTTTTCTGTGGAAAATGTTCCACAACATTTTTACTCCTCTCACATTCACATGGAAGAAAGGAAGGATACTGCAATACCCAACTGTTGCCCAGGATTGCCATAAAGATTCTAAGCATCCCACCTTGTGAAATTACCTGGAATTCGACTTAGGGCCTTTTAAGGAGAAAGGCAGGGTAAAATAAACTTAAATGTAAAAATAAAATAAAATAAACAAGGCTTTTAGCTCAGTAAAGACAAAAAAGAGGAATAGATTAACACGTGAACACACTGCTAAGCTTATGTCCATTTTGCAAAATCCTTAGCTTCTCAGTCAGTCACAAGGACAAATAGTCAAAACACAATGGAATAAGTAACCTATGCCCACTGACTCACACCCAACTTTTAGTAAAATAAAATGTTCCGCTAATTGTGAGGGTTTGATGTGACAATCTCAGGATTCTTCCTTTTTGCTAATAACTTCTCAAGACACCATTTGCATTAGTAACGATGGAACATTTATTTTTGGACTGACAAATAAACCATTGTCTTGAAATGGCACATAGTCTCTTTCTCTTTCTTCCAATGTGGTGGGAAGGGGCTTCCTTCATTGTCGTTCCCGTCTATACAGGCAACGGGCATGGACGTGTCTCCAAGGACATCCTCGCGCTTGGGTTATCCTCCGGGTTTGAACGCCTCCCAGGCCTTCTCCAGTCTACCTTCTTCATCATCTCCAGTGTTCACCATTCACTCCTCTCCCTTCTCTCTTGTTCTACTCTTTCTCTTCTCTTAACATCTTCCTCCACTCCCTAGCTTCTGCTTCTCCCCAGTAAGATGGTCTGGGAGGAATCACCGCCCTTCTCCTACGGTCAGCCTCTTCTCTAGGCATCTTCATTCTCTCCCACTTTTGGGTCCAAGGATCTTGCAACCAGATCCATTCCCAACCTCTCTCTAACACTTCCCCTTACCCGCTTCTATCTCTTCCTTCTCTCTGCCTTCTTTTCCTGTCTATTTTAACGGCTCTTCCTTTACTCCCATCCCCCTCAAGCCCTGGGATAATTCCTGCTCTTCTGCCTCCTGGAGGGACTCCTCTGGGGCTTTCTCTGCAGTCATCAGGAGTAATACAGTGGTGCCCTGCAAAATGGCTTCCCCTATGGAGGATCTTTGCTGGACGAGCAGGTATTTCCCCCATTGGAATGCATTGACCGGTTTCCAATGCATTTCAAAGGGTTTTTTTTCTGCTTGACAACGATTTCACTTAACAGCGATTTTGCTGGAACGCATTATCGTCATCAAGCCGGGCACCACTATATTCCCCTCCTTTCTCTGTCTCCTTGGTGGGAATGGAAGGCGCTCCAGCGAACGGTGACCCTGACTTGCCTCCTGGCTCACACTAATTTTACTGATATTTTCAGTTTGAAATGGAACTGAAAACTATTGGATATAATGAATGAATGACGTTGAAGTTATAACTTAGCAAAATAAATGTATTGTTGCTATATCAGGTTCGGCCATCTTTAGCTATGTATCCTCAAAATGTGTTATTTCTAGTCATTTTTCATTAAATCTAAGGGAAGTA